CACACACACACACACACACTTCCCAGCATGTGCAATACAAAACAAAATGTGCAATACAATAAGACAAGTAACATGGGAGACAGTTCCTATTCCAGTAGCTAAAGGGAAGTAAGACAGAGGTGGTGACCATCCAGCAGCTTTTTAAGAAGTTTTTTTCCTAACAATTTTGAAGAGATTGCATGAAAAAAAATTAAATGTATGGTTCAACTGAAATGTTGGTCTTGTTATATGTACACAGCTATAATTTTGTATTTTTTTTATGTAGGAATGCTTTCAATTTAGGTCCAGGAACTCCTTAAGAATTTGTATACTCTGCCTCAGTTTTCTAATATCACAAGCACAAAGTATGTCGTTCTATTTATGTCTTCATTTTTAGCTCAGGTGCAAGTCACTGTTGTGTTCATGTTACAGAATACAGCTACTGAACTAAGTTAATGAATGCATTTTGAAATAAAAAAAGACAGAAATCCCTGTTAACATATTTACTTTACTATCTGTGATGCTAATGCCTTCCAGTTCTAAAGAGCTGTTTTTGTACCTTTGAATGTCCTGGCTCTATCTTGCCATTAGCTGGAGAGATATGAAAATGCGATATCTTGCGAAAGCTGAACACCACAGGGAGGAATTGAGATTCATTTTTTAGTGAACAGAGAATATCGATCCTTTCACCAATCAAGCATTCCTTAAAATTGTATGCTGTCCCTGGACTGAATGTTAATGTGACCGGCAAAGCAGAGCCAGTGGCAGCCAGTTCCACATAGCGTTTCTTTTGTCCTGTGAAGAAAATAAAAGAAGCAAAGATGGTTAATGGCAATGCAATAGTTTTCATCCAGCCATTTAATATCCCTACAAAACAATGTATGATTGATCATGTTTTAAGGTGTTTTTAAAATTGATTTTGTTTTCTTCACAAATGTTCACGAGGGACACAAAGCAGTACAACAGAGCAGTAGCCAAAAAAGATGTAGATGCATGAGAGACAATCTTAAACAGCATTCACTGTATGTTACTGCGACAATAATGCCAAAATCTCTACTTTTCATACATCATATCATGTTATCACCAACTATGTATTGTTTCTGTACTCCAAAGGACAAAAGAAAAAGCAAAATATACGGCAATGGAACACATAAAATCATAAATTGTATGTGTTTCATTAGTATGTCCACTATAGGTTGACTTCATAATCTGAGTTCAACTGGCTGCCATGAGTTACTGTACACTACTATTATCTGCAGTAGTTTAGAGTGAACCAGAAATAGTCTAAAAAAAATTATCTCAGGGGAACAGTATTAAAATACATGCACATTGCAGCACCTGCAAGTACATGTATTTCTCTCAAAATCAATCCATGTGACAGTGTAAAGCCCATAAGTTCCTAGGAACTGGCTGTACATTGGGTTTTGACTTGTGCTCAAGTCAAGATGAAGCCAAAATCCATCTAGGCACTATAGCCTAGATGGACTAAGGACTAACGACTAAGAGTTCTTGATTTTCCTTTCCTAACACATAGCTTTGCAATGACATTGAACCTGAAGCAAGGTCAAGCAGTGGGCATGGGGGACATTGTTAATGTTTGTAGAAGGGATCACTTCTGCATATCATTAAGAGGACATGGATTAATGCTATAACAGGCTCACAGCTTTCGCAACCCTGAACTTTTTAATGGCTACGATGTATTCCTATGCCACTGACCAGACTAAATTGACTAGACGGACACTTGTGATCTATAAAATATGTTTTGGAGAGGCCAAAGGTTAAAGACCGCATTAGATTAAAAAGAGATTATTACACAATTGGGTCTTTAAAATAAACAAAAGTGGTGGTGGAAAACCACTCAATACTAGACCACTTTCTTGATATTTATTTTCTTCTTGTCTGTCATGTTACCAAAACACCACTATTAACCACACACTTGTTGAGTTTTTGAGTTTTGAGCCAAACTGTTATGATAGGTTTCCAACTAGGGATCCAATACTTGTAGTTTTTTTTACTGCATTTTAATGTATAAGATACCCACCTTTATTACACATTTGTATGTCTGTATGTGACTGGAAAAATCCATCTTTGCTTCCTACTAGTTCAAACCTCAGGAAAAGTGCAAAATCCTGCTGAGATGGGCATTCATTTGAATCAATGTCTTCATTTTGTCTAAAAAAATATATAAATATACATATATCACAAACACATTTAAAGCATATGTGCAAGAGAAACAAATTAAAAATCTTAAAAGCTGCTTCCTCACTTAGCTCCATTGTATGATACGTATATGTTATCTGGTATATTATATACTTTTTGTGCTATAGAATGAGGCTATTCATGTTTGGTAACTGTGCCTACGTAGTACCCTGAAAACATATATTTTGTCTGGAATACCTACTGAAAAATAACAGTGCCCTGGTATGTTTGGGCGCCAAGGCACTCCTGGGCCTACAACCTCATAGCTGTTTATCTGCAATGTGAGAGCTAAGGCATTGCGGCCTATCTTTGCAGGTCTCATGAGATCTGGAGTGAGATTTGGAGATGCCACTATTGTGCAACTTGCTTGAGGACTCTGGACTGCATTCATGAATATCCTGCTTCCTTCATTCTGTGAATGAAGCTATAATGTCCACAGCGGCTGAGCCAAGGGTACAAGCCAAGGAAGAGAAAGCGGGAGGAACTGGAGAGATAAGCGAATCAAGCTACACACAGAGTTTATGAGGGCTCTAAAGATAGAGTCCAAAAGCTGTGTCAAGACAGCCACTTGGTAATAAAGCTCAATCTGTGGTAGGCTCATTCCTCCAAGATGCTTTGTTTAATGAGGAAGTGCCACCCACCCCCCAAATATATTGCAACAAAGAAGAAAGGAGGGACTAAAAAAATGCTCTCAGAAGTATAATGGGGACTCTGTAAAAAATATATCAAGACAACTGGACTTGCTGGGTTTCAAAGGCAACCTGGACTGTAAATTAAGATGTATAGTAGTCTGTAGAGGCCGATAATTGAGTTCATAGAGCACCTTCATAGCAGGGGACAGGAAAACACCTAGATATTTAGGAGCAGTGGGCGTCCAGAAAAAAAGGAAAGCTGTGTTGTAGATTTTGAACAGTATGAGCTGCAAAGATGCATTGAAGGCTTCAGATTTGTTTATATACACTTTGAAGTTGCTTAAGGCGGCAAATAGGTAATTAGCAATTTTAGTTGTTTTCAGTGGGTTAGGGGTATACTATTTGTCACTTTAGCTAATATTTTCTTGGTGGAAGTTTTAATTTCTTTTTAATAGACCCTGTCACCAACTTAAAAACATTGCAGGTAAAAATTATGTATTGTAAATGCTTACTTGCAGCATGAGACATGACCAGCATTTGGTGAATTTTGTGGCATGAAGGCACAATACCATTGGCTAGGTTACACAACAGCTTTAAGTTCTGGTGCCAGAAACAGTGGCAGTTAAGAGAGATGGACACTTTTACTTGCTGGTGGTGTGTGTTTATTTTGTGGAATCAGAGATGGGCTACAAAAAACTATGTCTTATCCAGCGCTCAGATAAGAAAGCTGGTCGGATGTTCAGTGAAACGTCTTCAAGAAAAATACAGCAAGTCCAGTTGGCTTGACTTATTTTTTACAGATATACCATGACTTGGATGAATGAGAACCTTCACAGACATTATCTAGCCCTCAATAATTTTTATGGGGGCCAACTTCTCAACACCTGCAGGCATCTGTCTGGTTTGCTTTTGGGTGAAAAACACATGTGTAGAAAAACACATGTATGGCAAACTGAGCCAATCCTAGCCTTTAGTCCAGTCTGCAGATCCAATAGCCCATGGTGTAAATGGTGTTGGGTTCAGGGTCCATGGAGCAGTTGAAATAAGCCATGACTATCCTATCCATCCACTGCCTATTGTCGTAGTCTGGTATCTCCATCTGATGGTGCAACACCAAATTACCCACAACATTATGCAGAATTCAGCAGTCACTGCTGCTGCTGGTGCCACTTCTGACAATGGTGGTGGAGGAACAAGAATGCACTGGAGACAAAGAGGGGTCTTTAGGTATTTCATCAAGATTAAGAAAAGTCTAGACCTGGCTTGAAAAATATTCAAACTAGCTTCTCATTTGGAAGTCTCCAAACATTTTCCCATTTAGCTTTTCTAGTGAGAGTACAAAAGTGTGGCCACTCAGTTGTCATCTCTCTTTTTGATAAAGGCAATGCACCTGTCTCCGTGCAAGTACAAAATTATGCAGTTTGCTATGCCCACTATGCAGCTTAATCGGAAAGTTGTGACATTCTTCACCCCCCGCTACAACGTATCTACCTCTAGGTGCCCTTTATTTCTGTAGCATTTTTTCCAATTTTTTTATAAAAAGATACCATCTATATGCCATAATACTGTATGCTCCCATTGTATTATATTTTTCTGTTACTCAAGCTCAATTTACATAAATATAACAAAAATTAATGTTAAGAACATATTAATGCACACTCTAAGCCTGTACAACTACAAAAAAAAAGCATGAAGCATTGTACTTACGTAGGACTGAAACAAAGGGTGACTGTGGTTTTTTGGTAAGGTAAGAGGACACCTTGATTAGGGAAGCAAGAAAGTAAAGCTGACACATCCGTTTCATTTCTCCTTTTCCTATAATTGATTTCTTGTAAAACAGCATCTGTACTCTTCCCAATATCAGTGCCCTGAATAATATTAGAAAAGCATATATTTAATACATCACCATTATCCAAATAAAAGATATCTACAGATAAAAATGTAGAATTAGTTTAAAACACATGATAGTACCCAATGCATGCTTGGCTGCACCCTCCCTTTAGTTACATCTTTTCTTTAGTGCTGCTGTAAAACAAATGTTTTCTTTGTTTGTTTGTTTTTTTAAATAATGATCCCAGATCAAATAAATATACATTGCCCTGCAAAGTATTTATTTACCTTTTTGTCCAAACACTTAGGGCCTGTTCACACCACTTCCATGTGTTAATTGCACTGTTTCATGTGATTAATGCATGGTACCACACAATCCACCTCCCATGTGATCAGTGCAGGAAGTGAGTTGCATGCCATTCATTTGAATGGCACCTAAAACACACCTCCTGGCTGCAGTGTGATCAGCCGTGTGCACTATTTTTTTAATCGCACCACAACACATGGTATTTGTGGTAATGAGCGTTGTGGCACGTCCAATCGCACTCTGGACGGGAGGAGTGTTTTGGGTCCGATTCAGATGAATGGTATGCAACGCATCTCCCGCACTCTAATCGCATGGGAGGTGCCTTGTGCAGTACCATGCGTTAATTGAGCGGAGCCATGTGATTAACGCACAGAGGTGGTGTAAAGGGGCAGTTATAGTCATCATATTTCTGAACAGCTGGCACAAACTCTCTCAGCTCACCTTCCCTGAACTTTCTATCCAGCACAAGATCACAAGGGACATCATGGTCTCCAGCAGCCATCCATCTACTAGTTTGGAGAAGGGAGGGCGGAGGAGATGGGAGCAGGGAGCAGGGGAGTGCCTTGCTGTGCCGGTCCATTTGTGAAGCTTTCTATCATACAAAAGGGTGGCTCCATAAGACCCTTAAAGGAAAAGGAGTCACCCTAAATCAGGATATCAAGGCCAGTGCTCAGGTGAACCAGCTGATTCTACAGGAAATTAAAGCTTCTAAACATCAAGAAGCAGTGTCCAGTGTGACTTTAATATCACTTTAAGCACAACTGCAGGTCACTGGTAGATTCCCCTTGTTGTCTTGATCTGCTCTTTAGAAACAAAACACTTTTTTAAAAGAATATCCACTATTTTTGTATTTTTCGGACAAACTTGCGAAGCAGGGCAGCAATATATATATTTTCTTGTGCTGTATAACTTCAGACATACATTAACATCCTGGTTGTGCGTTGATACTTCAGACAGATGAGTTATGATACAAGGCTGCTGTGGGGAGAGAGGAAACCTTTATTGTAACTGCACAGTGTGATCAGAAATTCCTGCGGGATGCTTTAAACTAAAAATCCACTTTATCGCACTTGACCAGTAGAGAGAGGTTAAACTTACCATTTCAACTCCAAGTGCATTATCATCCAGGACAGACACCCAGCTCACTTCTTCTGGACTATCATTGTATATCACTGCTTTCTGAAACTTTGATGTTCCAAAATAGACAGCTCCAAAGTGAACACATTTTAAAGATTTGCCAGACAGGTCTAGTAACTCCAGAGATTGTTGGACAATATTCCCTTTAATTAGGAAAGACATTTCTTCACGACCTTGAAGTTTAACCCTAGGATAAAACACAAATGCCTAGTAAGCCAGTTTTAGCATACAATAATAAGCACATATCTTCAGATCATCTTAGGTACTGTATCAAGCAGTAACACAAGCCTAACCAGTATCATCTGATAAACAAAATTGTACAAAGTGGTATAATTATGTTTTTTTTCCCATTGGGAAATTAATCTAAACTGCAGATATGGCAGACGACCACAGAGCACACACTGATCTACACTGCTGATGCTTGTATATTCATACAGTGTAATTATATGGAATCTGTCATTACAATATTTAACTTAGTAACAAGTTGAAATGTCCCGCATTGGCATCCAGCTAGATAACAGCCAGAGAGAGCCACTACAGTGAGGAGCTTATTATATGGGTTTGGGTAGTAATGAAAGTGGATACCATTTTTAAATACTATTTTATACTATATATTACTGTGAATCTAGAGCTGTTGTAGGACATCATATGATATTAAGAAAGACAAAAGCTAGAGGTATAAATAGCCGAATCTGGATTTCGTGTATAACCCTACGCAGCAGTACAATTCTAGATATTTGGACATTTAAATACAGCCTTAATTAGAGCGAACTTTGAAAGGTCTGCATAATTTACTCTCACATATGAAATAACTATTTTTTATTTAGGTCAGTAGTACATTTTCTTTGCCGCCTGTCTACTCGTTTTGATTATTGTTGCTAGATATGAGATAACAATTAAACCTGTTGTGAAAAGTTAAAGAAAAGTAAGGTGATGCTAGGACATTATTCTAATCAGCAGAGGCAGAGAGATTACTCACCCAGTGGTGAATATTGCTGAACTTAAAAGGAGTACAGCACTTTATTGTGACTATAGAGCTACAATATTTCTCTAACCACATGACAATAAAGCTGATTTAAAAAAAAAATATGCAAAGTCTGTTGGGTTTATTTAATAAGGTATGGCCAATAGAAATGACTATGTGCAAAGTGCATTAACCATAACAGCCATTTATCATCTATGTACAGTAAACAGTTTTGTGTTATACAGCCAGTCAACATCTGTGTACAGTAATCATACATATGACATTTGCTGTGCAGCCAGTCATATCTCTGTACAGCATTGGTCCCCAGACTGCAACCCACGGGGCAGATGTGGTCCCTTGCTTGCCTTTAAGCGGCCGTCTTGGGCACTATTCCTCCCACCGACGCCAATGATGGGGCACTATTCGTCCCAGCAACACCAACATTGGGGTACTTTTTCTCCAACTGAAACCAATAATGGGGCACTATTATTTCCATTGAAACCAATGATGGGGCACAATTCATCCCACTGACACCAATCATGGGCACTATTCATTCCCAATGATGGGGCTTTATTCCTCTCCCCATTAACCATGGTCCCTAGGTTATGTTTTGCTCCCACTGTTCATCATCCCTTGGGCATTTTTTATTCCCAATGAACACCAAGCCTATGGCATTGTTTACTCCCACTGGCCACAGTTTGCCCCCCAAGGTCTAAAGGACAGTAAACTGTTCTCTAGAAAGTAGGAGGACCCCTGGTGTATAAAAACCATATATCTTGTATGGGCTGTGGTATAAGGTTGGTTACTACATTTTGCACACAGTTCTTACATATTGCATTATATATAATTGCATAATTACATACATATATAAAACCCTGACACTGAAATTTTAGAGTTACTCAAACACTAGTAAAGTGCCTTTAAATGAAGCAATTTCTTACTGACTACATAATATGCTCCAGGTCCAACCTTGCCCTGTGGCACAACTAATACCATGAATCAGTATTGCATATGACGTGCTTTTAATTTCTCACAAGATTGTACTTATAATCATCAAAGTGATTTGTAAATGAGAATTGCTTACAGACCTACAAAGGTTTGCATCTTGTGTGACCTGTCCTTTTATTTATTAAGCATCTCAGTATTGAACTTTGATGGTTTTAAATAAAACTCTAAATGCATTTTACAAATACTCTGGATTCTTTGACTGTAAATATTTGTTCACTTACTTAGCCAATTCTTCAATGACAACAGGAACATCTGCACAAAGTTCCAGCTTTATTAAATTTGTTGTTTTTGGCTCCACAGTACCACTGGTTGGGGTTATAGTAATAGGAATAGTTCCATTGTACTTTATTTTGAAAGTACCTATAAAGATATATTAACATCATTATTAATATCAAAATACTATGTAAATAACTCATACAATCAGTTTATAGTATAAAAGACGCAGCGTAGCAAGTACACATTCACCTTATCAATATTATATTAATATAATGCAACAAAGATGGCATCCAATAATGGCAAACAAGTGACCGAGAGTGAAAGTTGTAAACATTTGGGAAAAGTAACCTCATGGGGACTAAACTCACAAAGCAGCCACCCCTCACATTCCTTATTCTGTGGTCACACAGCCCCATCCCTCTTGTCAGTGCAGGCAAGAAAAGCATGCTGCAGCTTGATACTGGTTCTTAAAGATACAATTGCCACACAAACATATGCCCTGCTACAGGGACCTATAATGAAAGTCAAAAGCTACCAATAAAATGGTGTCTACTGTCTTCTTGGCAGCAGAAACAATTAAGCTTCAAAAAATGGACAATCTTTCTCTCTCTTTCTTTCTTTTTTTCCTTTTCCATCTCTCCCTCTCTTTCCTTTACCTTACCCTCTTGTACTTACATTCCTACTATAAATCTCCTGTTGGAACTTAACCGTTATTTTATCAAGTATTGCATCCTTAAATGCTCTTTTTTCTATTATTATGTATGCGTATTTGCAATACCTTCACGTTGGGATTGCTTCTAAAGATTGATATGCAAGAATTGGTATTTATTGTTCCTTATGCTCTCCTGTAATCACTTTGTTTATTATGTTTGTTAATGTGTACTGTTCTTAAAAATCTTTGTTAATAAAGAATTTATTAAAAAAACAAATGGACAATATGTGATCCAGATTTAGACAAGGAGGAAATATTCCATACAACATGGAATCCTTGGATCTCATATACACTTGCTCTAAACCTTTCTTTTGATTTCAGATTCTGTCTTCTATGCTTCCTAAAATGTAAATCATGGTACAAATCCAAATCTCAAATATATGCCCTACCTTCTTCTCGTGGCTGTATGAATCCTCTTTGTGCATATTTCAACATTACTCCCCACCCCCTCAAAATCATGGTAGTTGTACTCATCCATCTGATTATGTACTATAGGAAAACTAACTGCTAATATTCTACTTGCTTGGTCACTTCCACTAGCCCCCGCTTGTGATTGCACAATGAAGGAGTGATATCACACTAATAAGGTCATCGCTGTCAGAGATGAACGAATGGTGGAAGATCTACATCTGTGATTTGGTGGGGTGGAGAGCATTACTCTTCGCCCAGCAAAATATTCAATTCACTCATAATATAAATGAACTGGTAAAAAGCGATTTGAAGAGCCATTTACTGGTTCATTACATGCAGAGTGCACAAAAGACTACCCTCATACAGGCAGAATTAAATCATAAATGCTTAAGACAGTTGATGGGTAGGGTTCATTGCTAGATAGTACTGTTTGTTATGAAGATAGTGGTGCTAAGAA